AATGTCTACCCTTATCAAGAAGACGGAGCACCATGTCATACGAGCAAAGTAGCAAATGCCTGGAAGGAATCATAAGGAATCATGTCAGTGCCATTGGTAGCCTAAAGTCTTGACATGAATCCAATAGAATAGATTTGGAAGTACCTTGGCCGAAGACTTCAAGAGCGTGCAACCTAAATCACGTCAGTGGCAACCCTTAAAGTAACATTGCTAAAGGAGTGGCAAAATATGGATCAGATGATTGTTGATAACTTTATCAAATCCATGAAAAATCGAATACAAGCACTGAAATTAGCAAATGAAGGACCTACTCCATACTAGTTCTAAATATTGTTTATGTTGAATAGGGATTACGTACTTAAATTTTGAAATTGGATGTAGTTTATTTCTCCTAGCTAAAAACATTTTCCATGATTATTCCTGTTTTTTGTAGTTAGAAACGTATGGATACCTTTCCGACGAAACAAATCGTAATCAGTATATTGTCCTCTGCCAAGAAAAATCAGCCTTCGAGATGTAGGCTTTCACATGTGTTCGAACAGCAAATGTAACTTGTGGCTTTTCAATGTCGCCATTTCTCGAGACAATATATACAAATGAAATTTCTTTTTTTCCTCCATTAGACATTGTTTATGGATTTCAACGTTCCAGCAATTTTTGTCACTTGTTTCGTTTAAAACCTTTTGGAAGGAGAAGCAGTAAGAACAAACAAGCATTAAACGCTACTTAAGTAAATGACTCACCCAAAAAATGGAACGACACAGCTTGGAGACATTAAATCAGTGATAAATTTAGGTTTTCACTTCGTTTAAGTTCTTTGAAGAGAAAAGATTTGAATTGTTTTTCACCAAATTGGTAAAACTACATCAATCTATTGTCAGAGAAAGAAAAAAAAAGTATAAAATGAGTTTCAAAAATCAAACATCGAATAAAAATCTCTAAGCTTATGAGGAAATGTTATCCAAATACAATTTGACCACTGCCCATATGTGAATTACGACCATTTCCTATATCGTCGAGTAGTTTAAGCGGGAGAAGAAAAGGGACTAAAAATCAATTTTATGAAGACAGAATGCATCGTTGTTATCAAAAGGAACAAACCAACTTTCAAATTGGGGATATTGAGTTCAAACAGGTCTGGTTCTCAATGTTGAATTATATTTGGAAAGGACGAAAACAGACAGGAAATCCGAAGATTCATTGTGATAGCGAAAGATGACTTCCAAAAGCCGAAACAAAGCGTGAAGAAACATAAAATATCGTTATAAACATAGAAAACAGTATATATATTATTCAGACTGTTATCCCCATTCTCATTGCTATATTAACAACGTTTCGGCCTCAATCTCTGAGATATTCAACTTCTTACTTGCATCATTTATGATTATTGGGAAACTATATCCCCATCCTAATTGTCATATTTTACATTATTTTTGCCTCTATAAACAGAGATGAAAATTTTTAAGTTTTTTATTTAAGATTATTTGGACTGTTTATCATCTTCATTGTCATATTCACAACGTTTCGGCCTCTATATCTCTGAGATGAGGTATTATGATTACTTGCATTATTTACATTATTCGGACTGTTATCCCCATCCTAATTGTCATATTCACAACGTTTCGGCCTCTATATCTCTGAGATGAGGTATTATGATTACTTGCATTATTTACATTATTCGGACTGTTATCCCCATCCTAATTGTCATATTCACAACGTTTCAATCTATATCTCTGAGATGAAATTATGAAATACAAAGATTATTTATATTATTCGGACTGTTATCCTCATCAATAGCAATTTCAGGAAAATTTGAAAAGGGTTTAAATGAACCAAACAAAAAAAGCAAGAGACAACCAATAAAACTCTACTTCTGTTCCCCCACCCACAAAAAAAAAAAAAAAAAATTGGAGGTGTGTAAACCGGCCGCTAACAAATCTTTCTAATTCTATTGAATTATTTTTTTTATGGGATTATATAAAGAAAATATTACTAGATTGAAAAATTACTTAAATATATATTTTTTTAATCCAGTTCACCCCAGGCAAGGCAATGAAGCCACTAAGACCAAAACGGTTTACTGGTGCTAAAGTGTTAGGAAACAGAAACCTTACTCAGGCGCAAGAAGAATAGAAGAGTGATCAGGAAAACAGTAGATAACGATTAACATTGCATTTGAATTTTTAAAGATCAAAGTTTTTTTTTCCTGGAAAGCAAGGAACGCGACGAGAGTTCCACAAGCGAGAAGTGCGAGAAAAGAAACAGTATAAAACTGTTACATCTAGCTAACTCAGCTGTAAATTGATAAGACATCGTCCCCTAGGTGCCATAGCGAAGATCCCAGCGGAACAATTACCATTTTTCTTTGGATTTTATCAAGGATCTCTAGATATACGTGCACTGAAAATGAGAAAGAAAAGGGTTATTAGTGATTAGAAATTAATACAAGATCTACCAACAGAATACTGCTATTATATATATTATATATATATATATATAT